CTTTTTTACAACTACAGTGCTGTGTTCACTGTGTAAAATTAGACAGCTTGTGACTGTAACTGAAAAAAGAAAAAACCTTTTTATGTTTGTAATTGGCTGGAACATAGTTCTAGATATAGCAAATCCCACAAGCAAAGGTGAAGTGGACAAGAATAATTAACTGCTGGTAAGTGTTATGACTACATACCCATTGTGGGTAATTCATCCTCTAACAATGGGAATGAAATAGAGAGAGGTTATTTATAACAGGGCAAAGAACTCCCAGTGAATTAAGGCCACTATCTCAACCCACTCTTCTGCTCTATTTAAATATGATGACTGCTGTTTGTGGCACTTCCTGTCTTGACACCAGAGGTTTTCTCAGTATGTTAAGAAGTGCTCATTCTATCTTGCAGGGCCTACCATGCAGAAACTTGGTGTGGTCTTAACAGTAATTTAAGACAGTGCTACTACCAAAAGAGTTCCCTTTCAGTCGGTCACTCTCGACGTAATGTTCATATGTGTATTTGCTTCCGAAACCTCCTTCGGGAAGGTTGGAGCTTCCGTAACGTCCCTGTTCCAAGTAGAACAGGTACGTTTTCCCAGTGTTATCCAGTCTTACTCATTGGGTAGTGCCATAGCAGCAGTAGCTGGTCCTCTTGTGGTAAGCCCTGGCTTACGCCAAAAAGTAGGGGCGCAGGTGGCTTCCACAGGACACTGGAAGGGGCAGTACCTGAGGCCCTTTGTGAGGATCCCAATTCGTCGGTCATCCGACGTGACGTCTCCGTTCCCTCCTTCAGGGAACGAGGGTTACCATACGTAACCGAGACGTTCTTTAAACAGTAAGTACAAATGACTCTGCCTCAAATGAATAATTTCTGAATGTCCAGACAGCTGTACACAAACACCAAGGAGCTCATGACAGGGAATGTTCTCTTTCACACAGATCTTTGATGATTCTGAGAGGGATGTCGTTCCAAACCTGTATGACTTTCTTTTGGAAGATATTTTGAGAAATGTCTTGGTGTTAATGGTCAACAGAACTGTTTGGTTTCCAACATTCTTTAGAATATCTTCTTTTGTGATCCGCAGAAAGTCGTACAGATTTGGAAAGACATGAGGGATGATTACATGAGAAATTTTGGGTGAAGTATCCCTTTAAGACTTTCTCACTCTAATTCATGTTAGTATGTGACAGAAGCAAAAACTGTATGAATCATTTCTCACCTTTTAAAGGTGATGGGGGTTTCGTGCACTTTGACCGCACAGTTTTGCAGAGAGACACAGCAAGAACAAAGGTCAAGTGAAATCTCTTTTATATCACAATTGTTTCATCTAGACAGTAGTGTGATTAAATTTTGTGAGCTCACTGGAGAGTTTTGCTTAATAAAGTCACCATGAAATCAAAATCGACACTTCTTCTTTTTATGGGATATTGTCGTTTTTACTATAAAAGATTTATCCATCCCAATGGACAAAATCAACATTTTTTTTCTTGTTCATGTTTCACTTAGATGTATGCCACAATAGGTGAGAAAATGCAATTGTGATTTTCTGTTTCAGTGCTTCCTTGCTGAGGGCTTCAACCCTGCCTCCTGGGGACCTCACTGTCCTCAAACATTTCTCATCAGATTCTCCAAAGATCAATCTATCTGAGCTATGCTATTACCATTAATTTTATACATCTACACTCACAGTGATTGCCACTTTTTTTTCTTCATCTAAGCAAATCTTAGGATAAACATCTGAGACAGTACTTAAAGTTATATTGACCAATATGGGATATTTAATTGTACATGCTTATTTCATCTGTTTTTAAAAATTGATTACCTTTAATTTTTATCTTGTTCATCTCAGAATGGATATCTAATATTGATGCTCTGTTTCATAATTGGCTCTTTTTTGGTCTATGAAATGAATGTACTACCTTGTAGCTTGATAATATTTTTTGGTATTAAATTTTATTTCGATTTTATGGTACTAAATATGAAAATATGAAATATATTTTCTAAAACATGTTTTGCTGTAAAACTGCATGAACATCAACGCCATAAATCTAAAGAAGCTGCATTCCAAATTTTAGGTTGATTTCTCAAAAAATTGCTTTCAGTAAGATTTTGTTAGGGTGCAGTACCAAATGTTTCCACTAGATGAACTTTGCTTCCCATTAATTTCTGTGAACTGTGACTATTTTTTTTTACAGGGCCATTTAATCTTTTCAAATAATGTCCATGATTTGTGTGTGTGTGTTATGTAAAAATTTTCGGTAAAAAATAAACAAACAGCACCTGAGAGTTAATACCACTACTACATACTGTACATACTATACTTATTAATATAGTTAGTAAAGAATTTTCATCTGACACTTATTAGTCATTGGCCCCAACATGAAAATCCAGCACTATCTCATGACCAATTCGTACATATTTTACGAGGTGGCTAATTCGTACGGAATGTACTACCTTGTAGCTTGATAATATTTTTTGGTATTAAATTTTATTTCGATTTTATGGTACTAAATATGAAAATATGAAATATATTTTCTAAAACATGTTTTGCTGTAAAACTGCATGAACATCAACGCCATAAATCTAAAGAAGCTGCATTCCAAATTTTAGGTTGATTTCTCAAAAAATTGCTTTCAGTAAGATTTTGTTAGGGTGCAGTACCAAATGTTTCCACTAGATGAACTTTGCTTCCCATTAATTTCTGTGAACTGTGACTATTTTTTTTTACAGGGCCATTTAATCTTTTCAAATAATGTCCATGATTTGTGTGTGTGTGTTATGTAAAAATTTTCGGTAAAAAATAAACAAACAGCACCTGAGAGTTAATACCACTACTACATACTGTACATACTATACTTATTAATATAGTTAGTAAAGAATTTTCATCTGACACTTATTAGTCATTGGCCCCAACATGAAAATCCAGCACTATCTCATGACCAATTCGTACATATTTTACGAGGTGGCTAATTCGTACGACCTCACTCGTACGATTTTGTACGATTTGTCTAGACCCCAGTGACAGGTAGGTTTAGGGGCGGGGTTAGGTGTAGGTCACTCGTATAAATTCATACGAATTGTACAACTTGTAAAATACGTACGATTTAGCAAAAATCGTGTGAATTTGTACAAGTGAGGTCGTACGAATTTGTACGATTTAGCCACCTCGTAAAATATGTACGAATTGCCGTGAGATCAGCTTATCTGTATCAGCCAGAATTGTAATATCAGTGGATCCCTAGTTTCTTTAACAGATTCTTCCATCTCACATGCAATAGCTGTGAAGGGTTCATGACATGTTTACACCCCAAATCATGTCATTACATGGGAACCATGATGCACACTCAAATGCTTGTGTCATGCATGGCAAGGAGGCATGCAAGAAGAGCCATGTTGCATTACTTTGAGTCTTTTTTTTTTTTAATTTGTCTGCACCCCCCACAAAAGGTCACAACAAACATCCACAGCAAAACCCATGACTCGTCTTAGCGGGCCCTGGAGACATGGTGTGATTTGCAAATGATAGCTTGCCACACAGCCCAGGGTAAATCAAGCTTGCTGTTTAAACCATGTAAAAGCCTGCCACTTAACCCTCTTCCCACCTCCTGCTGCTTGCCTCAAGATTGCCTGCATTTTTATTCTAATCACAGGGTCCGTCACGTATCCCAGGAGCCTCCTGTGCATCGGCCTTAAACGCCTGTCCACAGTCCCCCAGCCCCTCTCTTTTCCTCCTAAATCTGTCTTTGTCCAAACCCCTCCCCCTCCATCTCTTTGCTGCCTCTCTTTGGAGAAGAAAGAGTGGATAGCAGTGACTCCTCTAGCCTTGGTGCATTATTTGCAGCGTATAAGCACTGGCCAGGTCAGTGGCCTTACAGGGCTGTAAAAGGCCCTGCATTTGTTGGCTATGTCATTAAACAAGTCAATTTGTCTGCGGTGACCCAGTAAGAGTCATTCATCCACAGGCTGCACATTATTTTACCTCCCATCCTCTCATTTCCAAGGTCTTTGTGAAGTTGAAGATTACCTCAAGGCCTGTAAACCAAGAGGCTTACAAACACAGTGAGCCTCATATCATTGGCTCAAGTGTTGAAGCTGCTTTGATAATGTAGCTTGCAAGCTACTCATAATTTGAACATAAAGCTACTGTCAAGATACTTTTTTGTAAAAGTTGCTACGCTGCAAACTACAAACTAAAAGTGGCTAATTATAAAACTGTTCAAAGGTTTGGGGTCAGTGAAACATGTATAAATGCAATTCTTTTTACTATTCATCAAAGCATCCTGAAAAATCACAGTTTCCACAAAAATATGAAGCAGCACAACTGTTTTCAACATGATAATAATAAAAAATGTTTCTTCAGCAGCAAATCAGCATGTTAGAGTGATTTCTGAAGGATCGAGTGACACTGAAGGCTGGAGTAATGATGCTGAAAATTCAGCCTTGTATCACAGGAATAAATTACATTTTAAAATATATTACAATAGAAAACAGTTATTTTAAATTTTCATAATATTTCACAGTATTACTGTTTTATACTGTATCAAATAAATGCAACCTTGGTGAGCATAAGAAACTTCTTTCAGAAATCAACCCCAAACTTTTGAACTGTGGTGTACATTTAATCTAGTAAAGGAGGAAAAATTGCTTTAAATTTATAACTTTTTTAATAAAAATGTTTATAATAGGATAAGAGTCTGGAACAAAAATTTTTTTTTTTAATTAATGAAAAATGTATTATTTGAATTAATTAACAATTTAACTGAAATAAAACACATTACCGAACAGAAGCATTTCATTTAAAAAAATTATTTTACTAATACCAGACTGACTTGGTTTCTTAAATCATTAAATTTACGTTAATCAACTAAGCAAACCAATTTACTACATTAAATATGTACACGATATTACATGAATACTATATGCCCTATACCAGAGTTTGCTACTGACTTTTGAGCAAGTACACTATTGGGTCTAGACTGGAGCATGCAGGAAATTGAATGGAATGGATTGACAAACAAACTGCTAAACATTTTTTCTTGGCTCTGAAGATGGTAATGCATGTAGCCGCAGGGTCTGGGTGGGTCTCCACCTGTCTTTCTTTTCACAATCCCTCAAGGGGAACGCACACAATTCTCTCAGGCTCAGGTAATCTTACCCCATCTCACTGTCTTCTCTCCTGTTAGAGGCCTGTGTGTAGGAGCATGTGAAGATCCTTGATTCATAAAATGAGCTTTATAGACGAGAAAATAGCATGTGCATGGAGCTACGAGCACTGATTGATGGGTGGGCAGGGCTGGATACAGGTAAAGCCAACAGGTGGGAGGAGGAGAGGAAATGGCCTGTAGTAATTTCATTGACAGGCAGGAAGGCAGCATAAGAGTAAGCTGAGTTTAAGGCCACATCCACACGAAGCCAGAGCTTTCCCTATCCAATCTTTTTTTTACCTCATCTCAAGGAATATCTGCATACACACGAAACCACGAAACCACGAAACCGACTTAAAACAATGTAGTATACATGCCAGACCAGTATGTGGCACTGTAATTCTGCCACAGAGATACACTAAAAACGGAGAAGAAGACTTAGAGCATGCGCATAAACCTTGCGCGCGGTATACAAACCCAACACAACAACAAGAAAACGAACATGGAACAATACATTCTTTAATCTGTGTTAATGTTAGTTAATAAAAAGACAATTGTTCAGTGTTTGTTCATGTTGTTTTTGCTGTTATGTGGCGTAGCGGAGTCTGACTAGGGACAAGACATGGGGTGATGACATCATTGTTTCACAAAATATACGGATTGGCTGTACACACGAAAACGCAAGTTTTTTGTTTTCGGATGTATCCACTCTGGGACCCAGTTTAAAAAATAGCGGTTTCACGCTCCCAAAACGCTGGATCCGTCTGGACGAAACGCCGATACGATACAAAATCATTACGTATACAGCTAAACGCGTCTCCGTGTGGACGGGGCCTAAGTTGAAAGTGACAATATTTATTTGAGCCATAGCTTAGAGTCTAGTATGCATTCTCCAAATATTTTGAACCTTTGGTGCTTGTGTGGAAAATACAGGTTCAAATCTGGTCAGCGAAAGCATGTTTCCCTTTGTTCCCCTCAATATTTTTTGTCCGACTACAGCACTTAAATATAAGCTTCTTAGTCTCATTTGTTTCTATTCTAATAAAGTTTAGGAGAAACATTGGTTACACTTTATTTTGATAGTCCACTTTAGACATTCTACTAACTATAAGTAACTTTGTAACTACATGTCAACTACATGTCAACTAATTCTCATTAATTTGCAACTACATGTCTACTAACTCTCAGAGTAGACAGGGTAGGTTTAGGGTTAGTAGAATGTTGACAAAGAAAGTGTTAGAAGATATTAAGCAGACAGTCTACTAATACTCTACTAACTGCTAGTTGACATGTAGTTGCAAAGTTACTTGCTGTTAATAGAATGTCTAAAGTGGACTATCGAAATAAAGTGTTACCGAAACATTTGAGACAGATGACACTTTGTCGAAAATGAAACTCTTCTTTTAACAATAGTGTTGACGATGCAGCTGCTAAAGTGATCTCAGTTTCATTTGTTCATGATCAAAATAGCTAGTAAAGGGTAAACCCGTCTCATGCCCTGGCTTGTTTGATCATTCACGTGCCACAGCTCCCTTTAATCAGTGGCAGACAGCAGGGCATTGGGCCCATATTAATGGCTCCAAACCATAAACATTACATTTTCCAAGATGTCAGTTTCCTGTTTTCCCAGGCACACAGGTCGTGGAGTGAGCTTTGGGAGTCACCACAAGGTCAGCCTTCCTCCCAGATAACTCTTTTCCCCTGAGGGGGAGTGAGCGAGAGATACCGGTACATTAAATCACACATTGTTCAAACAGCTCACACTGATACCTTTTTAAGAAGTAACCAACTCCGGAAGTGTGACTTATGTTGAAGGTGCCAAAAGGTGTAGAAAGTATATGATACCTTACTAACACCCCCACACTCGCAATTTCCTGTGCAAGTCTCATGATAGTGAAGATCTCAATACACAAGAAAAAACAGTGTTAGCGTGCCCGGTTTCTGTTAGTAAAGCGCTACTACAGATCCAACATGCTGGTTTTGATATAGAGCTAGAATATGGGCTTATGTTGGATTTTTTTTCTCTTCAGGTCATTCGTGAACTTAGCTCTGGTTTTACTGGCAAATCCACAGCCTTGTCTATGGTGGAATGGATTACTACGTATGAGTTCATACATATTATTTTGTTTATACTTACCCAGTGTAAAAGTATTGCAATTAATTGCATTAAATTTGCACTTGTTAGTGTACTTCAAATCCTAAAAGTATATTAAAAAAAAAAACTGTATGTGCATATAATATAATGAAATAAACAGCCACTTAATTGCACTTACAGAGAGTACACGTTCATATAATTTTAACATACTTAAGTACACTTTTAAAAAGTGTACTTTGCAATAATGTCAAATTAAAAGTTATACTTTAAAGTGCATTTTAAATCATGTTTAATAATCTTTTGACATGCTTTAAAGAAGTTCATTTATTTTGAAAATTTAAGTACTTGATTATAATTTTAACTGTGGTTATTTGATATTGCATGTAAGTTGATGTATTTAAAATGTACGTTTTGTAACCTATCATACAATTATTCATCACTTCATCATTTGCAAATTGCAACTTCATCATTACAAATGTGTAATGGTGCTTTGCATTAGCTGTGGCTAATGCTGTCAAATAATTTTGGTTTTGATTAGCAAGAGGAAAATGGATTGTACAACCTGTAAGTGCTGTCGGTAGGCTCTGTGTGTGCTACAGTTTTGTATCGAATGCTAAATTTATCCGATTTCTTAAGCTTCTGTGTTTGTGAGAATGGTGACTCCAGCAGTGCTCCTCAGTCTCAAATACTTTCTGAGCTTTAACATCAGCGTGAAACCTTGTTCATAAGCAGCGGCTAAACTGGGTCTTTGGAGGTGGGGGAACCATAAAATTAATGGCAAAATATGACAAGACCAAAAATGCATAACTACCTGCTAAAACCAACCTTTTTGTGATTAGTGCTATATTCAAAAAATGTATATATATAATTTTATTAAAAAAAAATTCGGAAAATATGTGAATATAGCACTAATCACAAAAAGGTTGATTTCAGCAGGTAGTTATGCATTTTTTGGTTGACTTCAAATAGTATGTTTTTTTGTGCATCATTGAACAGTCAACATTAAAATGTGTGAATTACTGTAATGTCATAAACAGGACATGATGCATCATTCAAATTTGGATGACATTTTCTCTATTTGTAGTCTTGATGTTGGTGTTGCATCCACCTCATCCTCGCTGTCTCCATCACTCTTCGCCTGTCTCTCTGCGTTCTCTTTCTCCCTTCTGTTAGTTCACAGCTGTCACTCTCTTTCTGTCTCACATCAAACAGTTTGTCACCATCTGTAAAGGTGGAGAGAACAGAGAGAGGCGATATTCAGACAGGAGAGATACACAGTCACATTCTGTATACGCACCTTCAAAATAATCTGTAGTCCTTGTGAATTAAACTATAATGTGGCAAAAACGCATGTGCTACCCACTGCAAATGATTCTAATTAGCTTTTTTATTAACTTTTTAAAAAGCAAATTAACCAGTAACGTTTTTAGTGAAAGCAATAGTTCAATAGTTCACTCCAAAATGAATATTCATTGCATCAATATTCATCAATTACCAAACCTTAAGCTAAAATTAAAGGGGTCATATGATGTTGCTAAAAAGAACATTATTTTGTGTATTTGGTGTAATGAAATGTGTTTAAAAAAACACATTGTAACACTCCAAAGAGAAAGGAAAAATTTTAATCGCATCATATGATATTATTTAAAATAAAAAGTTAATATAAAAAGTTAATTCAAATTATTAATGAATACTATTGTAGTATATAAATAAAATAATACTAAAACAAGCTGCAACGCCACGACATTAGCACAACACAACGAAAACAAGACACAACACAATGGAAACAAGCTGCAACACAACGGAAACAAGACACAACACAACGGAAACAAGTCGTAACACAGCGAAATTAGCACAACACAACAAAAACAAGTCGCAACAATGAAATCTCCACAACACAACACAACAGAAACAAGCCACAACACAACGAAAACAAGCCTAAATTAGTACTATGCGTTGTGTTGTGGCGATTTTGTTGTGTTGTGGAGATTTCGTTGTGCTATGCACTACTGAGCCACTGTAGTTTATGCTTTAAAGCACAGTCAGTGAGTGAAACAGAACAAATGTAGTTATGGATGTAAGTTATACGCTGTATTTTGTGAATCGAGACAGAGATTTCCTTCTCTCTCTTTCTCTGTTTACAGTCTGTCATTGTGGGCATTAGTGGGCAGGAAGCTGCAGGAGTTGGCCCAGTGACAACCTCCACAAGAGCCCTGACCCCCCCACATACGCACACACACACCACTCTGTCAGGCCGGGCCAGGGAGAAAAGCACTTCACAGAGAACAAGAGGGAGGAAGACAGAGAAAGAGTGAGTAAGATAAAGGGAAAGCAAGCCCAGCTGTAAGCACACAATGCCGACGAGAGCTTGGCTGAAGCTCAAGGCTGCTCCAAACGAGTGCCTCCATTTTTTTCCCCCTCTCTTTTTGAAAGCGGGTTGCACCGCGGAGCTGGAGGTGAGAAGGGGGTGCGCAGAGGGGGATTAGACATTAATGCATTTCTTCACCAGCTTAATCCTTATGATTACACCACAAATAAATACAATTTAGGCCTATTTTATCTTCTCAATTTAATTCAGCGAGCACTTGTCAGTGAGGTTGCGCAGAAATGAGGGTGTAAATACTGGCACCTACCAACAAATATTTACAACAAACAGGCAAGTTAGTCGCTGTCATGCATGGTTAATGTAAAAATGTCCCCTCCCTCGCATTGCGTTCATAAGAGGCTTTAATGTCAAAATGAATTTTCAGCCCTGCTGTAGAGCTTTTGTATGAGAAAATGAGCGCTTGTGTGTATGTCTGTGTCGCTGGACAAAGATAGGCAGGAGGAAATGAAGGACTGGATATGATGTTGAAAAACATGAAAAGCATGCAACTGTTAGTATGTAGTATGCATATATTTTCTGTAGTATGTAAGCTGTTTGCAGCAAGCAAATGTCTGTATGCAGACACATCCAGATGACCTGGTGAAGTTGCCTAATGTGCATTATACAACCACAATGCAATTGATTTGCCTTTAAATTAAAATGCTTTAATATCCAAAAACCTGAATTAAAAATGCAAAACAGGCTTCTGCCCATGTCATAATGCAGTGAGCATTGCAGTGATGGCGTGCTTTTGTAGGTCAGCCCGGAAGTTAGCATCACCCTGGTTCCCTCGACAAAAACTCATTAGGATCTTTTCATTGACTTTTGAATTATTGCAGAAAATAAGCTCTGTTCATTTTGTTCATCATGATAATCTTCGCAAATTAGAACAACTTTTATCAAATGCGAAGCCTAGACACAATTGGCAGAAGTAAAAAGCTAAACATATTCAACTTTAAAAGAATAGTTCCATTTAAAGTTCCACCATTAAAAGAATAATTCCCCCCAAAAAAATTTGCTGAAAATGTAACCTCAGGCCATCCTAGATTAACTTGTTTCTTCATCATGGACTGCATTCTTGTGGATTATTGTGATGTTTTTATCAGCTGTTTGGACTCTCATTCTGACGGCACCCATTCACTGCAGAGGATCCATTGGTGAGCAAGTGATGAAATGCTAAACTTCTCCAAATCTGTTCTGATGAAGAAACAAAGTCATCTACATCAGTGTTTCCCAACCGGGGTGCCGCGGCAGCCTGGGGTGCCGTCTGTCGAGAGCAGGGGTGCCGTGTAAAAAATCCTTTATTAATATTTTTAAATTGCTAAAATGTAAAAAAAAA